TTTGATGGCTGTCGCCAACTTAGCTTCCGTGCTGTCGGTTCTCGGGAGGTACGGTGAATCGGAGGCGATGAATCGCCGCGCATTGGAGGGGTACGAAAGGTGTCTTGGATCGGACCATCCTAATACTTTGATGGTTGTCAACAACCTAGCTCTGATGCTGCAGGAACAAGAGAGGTACGAAGAATCAGAGGTAATGAATCGCCGCGCATTGGAGGGGTACGAAAAATGTTTTGGATTTGACCACCCGGACACTTTGATGGCCGTCAACAACTTGGCTTTGGTGCTGCAGAAGCAAGGGAGGTACGAAGAATCTGAGGTGATGAATCGCCGCGCATTGGAGTGGTACGGGAAATGTTCTGGATCGGACCACCCTGGCACTTTGGCGGTTGCCAACAACCTGACTCTGGCGTACCAAGAATTGGAGGCGCTGAATCGTCGTGCATTGGAGGGCGAGAAATGTTTTGGATCGGACCACCCGGACACCTTGGTGGCCGTCAAAGACCTAGCTCCGGTGCTGCAGGCGCAAGCGAGGTGCGAAGAATCACAGGTGATGAATCGTGGCTCATTGGGGGGGTACGAGGAGGCATTAGAGCCGGGCCACCCTAGGACTCTAGAGGCTGTCAACAACCTGTCGATACTGTCGCTAAAACAGGGAAAGTTCATCGAATCAGAGATAATGTCCCAGCATGCCCTAGAAGGCAGAGAGAAAGCCATGACTACAATCCACTCCAGTGCACTGCCTACCATTGACAACCTAACTCTAGCACTTGAAGCCCAGGGAAACTATACCGATACGGAAAACCTTCTTCGGCGTGCCCTGGCAGCTCGCGAGAGCGCACTCGGTCCAGAGCACCCTGATGTCTGTAAAACCCTCCAGCGTCTGGCCCGCCTTTACGAAAAATGGGAACGATATCCTCAAGCTGAGGAGGCTTACGAGCGCGCCTACAAGGGGTTCTCTAAAACCCTCGGTGAACAGCACCCCACTACCTTGGAAGGTGTCAGGAGGTACAAGTTATGTCGGGAGCACAACACCTTTCCCGCGAGGTTTATTCCAGCGGAGTTTGATATCAGCTGTATAACTCCCCTGCCATTTTCCCAACTCCGCCCCCCCCCCGCGGTTTCCCCACCACCACCCTCTCCTGCGGCGGGAGAGACTTCGGCGGTATTTTAGAAAACTGTGGGAATGGTGGCGTTCATTATAAGATTTAGCGATAGGTGGCAGTAGTTGGGCGTACCTCTATAGGGACGGGATGAGGAGGGGCTTCTTGATTGACTTCACGGCGGGTGGGATTGTTGAGCGGAGTTTGAAATCGTTTGGGCAAGTTTAGTCACTGTTTGGAATTTCATCACCCGAGAAATTGTATCTATAGGTCCGATGGTTTCCTGGGGCGCGTTATACGAGAGTGCCGGGGATAGGAATGCAATCAGGGTAAAGAGGGGATTGAGCAGTTATAGAACCGCATGTATACAGTATATACTGTAGGTCTGAGAGTTGTTAGATTTAGCAGATTGATCGATCTAAAGTTCAGGGGTTAGATGGCCATTTTATGGCTGGAGCATTCTTCCCTCAATCGCCCCTGTCTTCCAGACACCAGTCCGCTACATTTCCATACCTCTCTTTGTCTCTGTCTGCTTCCTTTTTTGGTGCGTGAAGCTGGTGGTCAGTGTACAATTCCTACCTTCGCTCGTCACTCCTATATACAGCGCGGCAAATAATTCCGATGCACTTCAACCGCCTCTTATTCGATCCTCCGTCATTTTTAACTAACCTCACCGACTCGCATCTGGTTCTCACCACCCACCATTTCCCGAAGATGCCCTCCGAAGTAGGGAGTTCAAAACTCCTGACGTCCATCAGTCATTTGATCAAGGGAGCCCCGAATGAGCGCAAGATTCGCACCCCCTACAAAGGAAGGGCCACTTTTCTTTTTCTCCCAACACTACTCCGCCGGAGAGTTGGTATTCGTGCTTACAATTCTGGGCGAACCCTTCCCTTTTGCCCTGAATTACGTTTCTGCAAATTAGTTGCCAAAAATGCCTCGTCACTATGAATCACCGGTGCCCATCAGCTTGGTTCTTGAACTGGCTTAGGTTTTGGAGAAATGCTTTCTCGGTTATTTCTTATATTTGTGAGGATGGTTGCTGTGCGCTTCTCTGTTAGGCCAGCATCCTTTGGCACACGCTCTGCGGGGATCTTGCAGCTTTTCAGAAATTTTATAGAGCGTGCTGTAGCAGCTCTGGAGAATGCTGGTGATAACATGCCAAAGAGTGTTTGGGCCCGCTATCAGGAAGAGAAGGACAAGCGGGTAAAGTATTGCCAAGGGGGGGGGGTGAGGAGAGAGGGTTAGGTGGTAAGGGTTAAGCGGTAAGGGTTATAGTGGTGTCTATAGATCAAAGCAGACACGTGAAAGGACTGTAGAAGGAGGTGAGAGACTGGCAAAGATGCTCTTCGTTCCACGACCCTCTCTCAGGCTCGCCTAGCTACTCTCTTATGAATGTAACCTTCTCTATCCTAAGACCCAGGAACACCGATCCTCCATACATGCCATCCATCAAACCATCGCTCCCCTATATTCATGGAATATTCGGGTCCCCGCCCATCAGGCAAGGCCGTGTTGCAAGCCAGAATAACGGGGTAACTTGTATCACAGCCCGCAGCTCTTTGGCTAAAACAGACATCGCGATCCGGAACCATTTTGTAAAACTCTTTACCAGGCCTCGCAACTGGTTTTGTGTTCCGTGGTAAGATCCGGACACCAGTTTAGTTGAGCTGGGTCGTGTTAGTCAGGGCACACCCTGGGAAGCCCACCGGACACGGGAATCAATGGGCGCGAGGGGGGGGGGGCTGCGAGGGGCGAATAGTAGCCGACAGTGAAGCTCGGATCCCTTACTTAATATAATGCGCTAATGCAAATCATAACTTGATTTTGCGGAAGGATGGCTTGGTGGTTGTGAGATTATGATACAGCAATAACTTCCCGGTGTTTTGTTGAAACTAAAATTCCTGACTATGCCGGGCCTACAGGTTGAGTATTGAAGCTTGCCAAGACTATCAGCCTGGTGGTTCCAAGGAATCGCATTTGTGGCATCAGCGAGGTTGAGCTTCATACAATACGCATTCAAGATACTGAAAGCGGGCTCTCAGGACTTTTAAGTCAGGGGGATATTCATGGCCAATCACTCGCTATTGACACAACACAGGATGTTGAAAAATGATTGATATGGAGGTAATGATCGGTAGTGAGGGTTTACGCAGCGGAGTAGAATCACACAAGTGGAGATAGGAGGTTTCTCTCAGGTGAAGAGAACGACCATGATTGATTGCTTAAAGATGACT